TGTTTTGTAGCTCCTCATTTGTAGCTTTCTGTCTGCAGCATTGTACTGCCATGACAAAACATCCCATAGTTAAGCAAAATCAGAGTGGAAGAGCTGGATCAAGAAACTTACTGAGACCAAGCTTTCTAATTTGTGGACTTTGCATATTTTGTAAGAGGGTAGTTAGAAAATTCATCTGAAGTGCATGAGAGTTGGGGGTGGATTGTTTTTTTCCTCTTGACCCGAGTATGTGCGCCATTTATTTGACTTTGGGAAGAGGTAGGGAGGTCACAGTCGATAACTATTAAATCACTGTCCTCTCCTGCTTTGTAAACAACTAGGGCTGAATATACTCTATGTTCGCGCAAGAAAATGACTACTAGCTATTTTAGAGAAGGATACTGTCATTTGTTTTTTAGTACTTGAGAAAAAACTCTCACAGGAAAGTCAAACTGGAATTACAGCACCTTGTTGCAGCATATAGAAAAACCAAGGGAAGCTGGACAAGGTTCTTTGGGTAAACCCAATATCTTTTATTAATAGTTGGTCTAATAAAAACAAAAAAAACAAAAAAAAAAAAACCAAAAAACACAACAACAAAAACAACAGATTTACCCAAAGAACCTTGTCTGCCTATTGTGACTGGGGCAAGCTTTCATGCTCAGTGCAAGCACCGTCTGCCCCATGTCTAGAGGTCAGCTACCCACCTCACTTGTCTGCCATGCCTTGATGTAATAATATTGATGTGAGAATTAGGCAGGAGGCTGTCCATGATACACCCCAATATTGTGGGGGCTATCCACAGCTCCATTCAACCCCTACACCGCTGCCCAAGCCTCGCAGATAACATCTCAGGCAGCCAACTCAACCGCCCCCTTCGCTCATTAGCTGTGGCCCCTTCCCTGGCACCTTCGGCTTCCCTTTAAGCCCTGGCCCCATCTCAGGCCAGTCAGGACCCTGAGCTTCTTTGCTCTATATGGGCATCCCTCACGGTGGGCCCCTGGTCCTTTTGACTCCTATTTGGGTCCTGGCCCCAGCATTGACCAGTCAGGTCCCTTGGGTTAGGTCTAAGCCTCCTGCCTGCACTCAGGGATCAGGGTCCCCCATTCCCAGCTCAGGTGCTTCACAAAGTATGCCTGGCCCCATGGGGTCACTCACCCCAGCAGGCTCAGGCACTTCAAGAAGCTTATCTGGCCTTCCCTGGATTAGATGGTTCATATAACCCACCTGAGGTGTGGGTAGGGGCACCTTAACCCCAGCCCTCCCTTTCACCAGGGTGGTAACTGGCTTGGCATTTTTCTGGAGTTCCCACACCACTGGGAGTCCCACCAGACCACCCACTCCTGGCAGGGTGCAGTTTTAGGTCATACCCTGGACCAGAGCCTCCTGCTCCTATCTGCAAGATGTTCCCATGCAGCAGCTCAGCCAGGTGATGTTTCTCACCTGCCTCAGCAGCAGGCTGCTCTTGTTTATAAGAGGCAGCCAGAGTCCTAAAATGGCCACCAAAAATCAAACACCTGCAGGCACCACCAAGTGCCCTGCCACACCCATGTCCTTCGACCAACATGGCTACAACCTACACCCCTGAAACAAGGAACCTGGAAACATTTTCTTCTTTCCTGTAACATTTCTAAAGATTTGTTACTCTAGAAACAGCAAATATCCCAGGTAGGCCTACACCTGAAAAGGAATTATTTTGACTGCTCCCATATACCACCTCCAATTTGTTCAGCTGGCCTTAGAAAGTGGCTGCCTAGCATTTGATCCTCCCTACTTGTCAGCAAGAGGAGATTTTTTTTTTTTTACAGTTCCTAAATATTCAGATCTTGAAGGATCAGCTACTGATTGAGCTGAGCCAATGTTTCTAAGTGTCCGTGATGTCTATTTATTTTTCAAGATCTCAGGACAGATGTGTTTGCAAATCCAAATGCACTTACCTTTACTAGACTGTGTTAGATGGGTCATGGTGTAATATATAAAATACAGACGACTTTCTTTTATTCCAAGTCTTGGGGACAAGGACTGTTCTTCCTATGTATTTACACAGCAACCAACACAATGAGAGCTGATCAAGCTTAAGGACACCACTAGAATTCAAATATGAAATAATGATTCTTTTTGAAGTTATGCTGCCAGAAGTATAGAGAATCTGCTGTAATATTTATGCATACCCAAGCAGTTCTTAGGTTATATGGAGTGTATGTACTGGGGCTTATCTTTCCTTCCAAGTCTGAAGTTAGAGTTTATTTTTAAGTAATGTGTACATTGGAGATCAAGGGTATTTCTCCTTATACCACTTAGGTTGAGATAGATGGCTGTAGCATAATTGGTGTGGCTGCAGAGTGATTAAAGGCTCTTTAGATTTAAAGAAGTACAATACTTACAAAATCTTCCTTCAAAAAGTTCCTGCTAGCTTGAGTTGAAGCACCCTTGCTATCTCTCCTGCATCCAAAACTGGACCTAACCCTGAGGGGTTTCTGTAGCACAGTTTCCTGCATAGTTCCCTTCTCCCATCTTCTGTCACAGACCACACATGACTGAGACAATATTTCAACCTCTGTGCTGTTGCTAGAATCTGCTGCTAGTTGCTAACATGGATACAGTTACAACAACTTGATACTCATTACTCCATGAGGAATAAGTGAGACACAGGGGGCCACCTTGGGGCCGATCTCCATGGCCCGCCCACCTGTCTCTGAGCAACCGCCCGCCTATCTCTCCTGCCACGCCTTTGATGTTAATTGATTCAATTAAGGTGTCAATTAAGCAGGAGGCTACCCATTTGGTGCCCCGATGCCCAGGGGCGCTCTCTGCGGCTCCTACCTCCCCAATACCGCAGCCCAAGCCTCACAGATGGCATCATGGTGTTCACATAATCACCGGCCCCACACTGGGCCCCAGAATCTTCCATACAGGACCCCTCTATGATCCTTCCGATCAGGCAGCCTCTCCGCCATCATCCAGGCGACCTAGCCCCCCCAAAGCTACCTTCCCCTCTCAGGCATGGTCCCCCCGGGACCTTCAGCCACTTGCCCTGGTCCACCTCCAGGCCAGTCAGGACCGCAGGCCCCCAGCTCTTGGGCATCCCTCGCGGTGGGCCCCCGGCCCTTTTGACCTTCTTGGTCCTGGCCCCAGCTTGGGCCAGTCAAGGGTACTCTCTCCTTTGGGCTGGGTCTCTAGCCCCTCACTCTCTCCCCTCGGGCTCACTGCACCACTACCCCCTTTCTCCCAGGGTTCACCACAGCACCACACCCTCATCACTCTCTCTCTTGGGGTCCACCCTCTGGGCCCCTCCAAACATAGGGTTACCCACCCAGTGGTAGGAGCTAGGGGTTAAGGCACCCCAACCCACCTTTCACCAGGGTGATAACTGGCCTAGCATTTCCTGGGAGCTCCCACATCACTGAGAGCCCCACCAGGCCACCCACTCCCAACAGGGTGCAGTTTCAGGTCATGCCCAGGACCAGGAGCCTCCTTACCATCCCCTTGCAGCTCCCCCTTACCTCCAGGTTATTCTCAGCAGCCCTCCAGCCAAGCAATGTTGCTACCTGGCCTCCTGCAGCCAAACTGCACTGTTTATATAGGCAGCCCTTGCCTCTAAAATGGCTGCCCTCGTCAGGCACCTGGAGGCTGCCAACTCCAGGCCCTTAAAGTAGCAGGCACACACAGTGCACTGCCACAGAGAGTATCATCTTATTTCACATACTTCAGCAAATAA